GCTCTCCACACTGGGCAAACAGGAAATGAAATTCAAAAGTTCGTGGGGCTTTTCCTGTCTACCTGGTCAGTGCATCTGAGTTGAGAGTGCTGTCCAGAGCAGTCACAATGAAGCACTGTGGGATAGCTCCCGGAGCCCAATAACGTCGAATTCCATCCACACTACCCCAAATCCGACCCGCAAAGGCCGATTTCAGCGCTAATCCCCTCGTCGGAGGTGGAGTAAAGAATTCGGTTTAAAGGGCCCTTTAAGTAGAAAAAAAGGGCTTCGTCATGTGGACGTGTCCAGACTTAATTCGATTTAACACTGCTAAATTCAACCTAAACTCGTAGTGTAGACCAGGCCATAAACTATATCTGGGGTGCAGATAAACCCCGTTATTCCTTCAATTTGTGAGTACAGGTTGCCAGCAGGCTTGATCTTAGGAGAAAGGATGTCAGCCAAACTGATTGAAAACACTGGGGAAATGACTCGGGGTGAGCTATCTGATTGTAGATGGGGAATGCCTTGCGAGTAAGTTTAGGCTCTCTAGAAAGCATGTTATAATTTTATTTCATATGTAACCATTTGTTTCCAGTATTCTCATTTTTTAATAAACTTATTCTTGTTTTCACTATATAAACATTGTATGTTAAGTAAAGTGGGGATCCTGAGTTGAATCTTACAAACTGGTGTGTGTAGTATTCCTTTGGGAGTAGCAAATTTGATTGTTCTGTGAAGGTTCAAAGGCCTGGGTATTCCAGAGGGATGCTCGGTGGACCTAGGGTTGATGTGTGCCTATTGCTAACTTGTACAAAGAGAGCAGAGTCTGCGGAGACCTAGAAGATATTGCTTGTGTTTCCAGAAGCTGGTGGTTTCATGGAGCTGATCCACAGCAGGCTCAGATAAGACTGACAGGTGCCTCACACCCCTGGAAAACATCACACTCAACAAAATCAGTGACCACTCTTGAAAATTTTGGCCTTGTTGACTTGTTCAAGAGCGTATTAGCAGTTCATACATCCCAGTCCCATGCTTAGGCCGGGTCCACACTAACCCCCCATTTCGAACTAAGGTACGCAAATTCAGCTATTACGTTATTAATGTAGCTGAATTCGAAGTACCTTAGTTCGAACTTACCGTGGGTCCAGACGTGGCAGGCAGGCTCCCCCGTCAATGCCGTGTACTCCTCTTGTCGAGCTGGAGTACCGGCGTCGATGGCGAGCACTTCCGGGATCGATTTATCTCATCTAGACAAGACGCGATAAATCGATCCCAGAAGATCGATTGCTTACCTCCGGGTCTGGCGGTAAGCAAAGTGTAGACCTACCCTAGGTCCATTAGGCAATGCTGCTTTGATTTGGTGCGCTGCTTTAGTATGGTGCTAGATTAAATGCATAATACACAATATAGTATAGCATTGCATTTGAGATTTTACATACACAAAAATCAGAAAATCCCAACCACAGTAGACATTAATTAAAAAAATTACATTAATTACCATGGCTTTTTATAAGAAAAAATTAGTTTGAGTGTATATTCAAATAGCATTTGAATGTGTGAGATCACACTCAAGTAAACAGTGATTTATTTGAGTAATTGTATATTTGGACACTGGAATAAAATACATAGTGCAGTCATTTGAATGTAGTCACCTGGTTCCACAGAAAGCCAACTAATCCCGGGGACAGTAATACTAGTGAGGAAAGGGTCTCTGTGACCCCTCTGTGGTCATATTCACTGAGCCACTTGAGCCATAAGGTGCTCCTGCTTCCACTCATAAAGTGTTACTTTGTGTTTGTCTTGTGCTTGGGTTTTTTTTGTGTGTCTTAGTTATGCTTTAGGGTTGAGAAATGTGTCTTTATCTATGATTGTTAAGCACTGTATGTATTTATGGCACTATATCAATGATTAATTAATTCAGTAACAAATAGATATTTTCCCCGATTGGCTAGCCTCTAATCTAATAGGCACCATCAACTACTTGTTGTAAGTATTTCACTCCTGTAAGTACTAATTCAAGGATAAATATAATGGAGGGCAACAGTGACATAAAACATAGTGCCTAGATATAAACTCAAAGGACTATATAATATTACACAAATGTATGTTAAAAGAACATTATTAAGGTTGCAAACTCAAGCACACAAAATTTAGGAAATCCCAGAATGAAGGTTGCTTATACAACCTTAATTTAGCCCCTTTGTGTGTATGCATTATGATACAGTCTTTAATTATAAGATCAACTATTTTGTCAACCGGTCCCCTGCCTCATTAAGTGGACAGAATGGTCAGTGTTCACTTAATGAGCAGCTATTCAATATTTTGTTTTATCTTCACTATTAAATGTGTGGTCTTAGATCTTATTTATTGCAAACTATTCAAACCCTGCTTTGAAGACAGAATTGTAATTTCTTCATGAGCTTTTCTCTGGTGCTTTTCGCTATAGTATCTGAGTGCTTCACAAATATTAATTCATTTATTTTCCAAAATCCTCTGAGATGGGGGGTCCCCATGTTACAGAGAGGGAACTGATGCACAAAGAGATTAAGGTCAAAAGTACCCACTAATTTTGGATGCCCAATATAAGACACCTAGGACATTATTTTTCAGGGTACTTAGCATTATAAACAAGATCTTGAGATCCAATTTTGTGTTTAGTCTACTTTAGCATCACTTTTTGCTACTAATGGGGGCTGGAAGGGGGGCACATAGAGGCAGTGCACACGCTCCCCATGGCCTTCCATAATGGTCAGTTTTGGCTCAGTATATACACATATAACCTTCCTGAAATGCAAGCTGAGAAGCAACCCTGTTAATAATAACTTTCTGTTAATGGAAACATTCTTCCTGGAAATGATACCATCCAATTAACTATAACGTTAATTGGTCCAGATATTGGCAACCACCGGCGCCAACTTTTTTCTGCACCGGTGGGTGCTTGCGCTCCCAGCTCCGCCCCCACCCCAACTCCACCCCTACCCCAAATTCCCTGCCCTAACTCCACCCTTCCCTGCCCCTATTGGACCTCTCCCCAAATCCCCGTCCCAGCCCCGCCTCCTCCCCCAAGTGCGCTGCGTTCCCCCTCCCTCCCAGGCTTGCCGCGCGAAACAGCTGTTTCACAGTGCAAGCGCTGGAAGGGAGGGGGAAGAAGCAGGATGTGGCGCGCTCAGGGGAGGAGGCAGGGCGGAGGTGAGCTTGGGTGGGTCAGGGAGATGCCGGTAGGTGCAGAGCACCCACCAATTTTTCCCTGTGGGTGCTCCAGGGCTGGAGCACCCATGGAGTTGGCACCTATGTTGGCAAAAGGCATGTTGGCTATTGACTTTTTTTTGTGGAAAGCCTGATCCATGGAGAGGTTTCTAGGGCTGCAGCCAGGGATGAAAGCACCAGGACATGCTGAGCCATGGGCCCAGGGTTGGCTGTGGCAGGGCAGCAATGGGAAGAGGAGCTGCTGTTCAGGTGCCAGGGCTTTCCACATGGGGTGGAGGTGCTGTGGGACTGCACCATACCTCTCAAATGGTAACCAATATACTTATTAATCATTAAAGAATCTGGCTACAGTGTTCACCGGCAGGTCCCACTGCTTCCTTGCTTGCCAGCAGCCCAGAAAACCTGCCTGTGGCCAGGGCTTTCCACAGGGAGATGGGGTGCTGGGACCGGGCTCCCAAGTTTGGCAAGTATATAATAATATACTTATTAATCATTAAAGAATCTGGCGGGGTGTATCCTGCCCTGGCACCAGGAGCCCAGGTTTGGCATATCCCAGCACCCCTGCTTCCTGTGGAATGCCATGGCCACAGGCAGGTTTTCTGGGCTGCTGGCAAGCAAGGAAGCAGTGGGACCTGCCAAACTTGGGAGCCCAGTGCCAGGGAAGGACACAGCCCAGAGAGCTCAGGGAGAGGTACCCTGCAGCACTAGTGCTTTTTGACTTGGCCTCAGCCCTGCAAACCTTCCTGCATCCAGTAGGGTGGCCACTCATACATTCTCGGAATATCAGACATCTATGTACTTTTGGGTACAGCGTGGGCCTGCCCCCACCAGCACAACCTTACCCCCCTGTTATGGGAAAAGGGGAAATCGGAGGGATATAAAAGACCCCTGCTAAAGGTAGTGTTCTGGTTCCCTGAGTTAGGGTCTATCACCTATGGATGCAGCAACAATGACACTTTACTAGAATTAAAGGTGAGCCAATAGAGCAGGGGTGGGCAAACTTTTTGGGCCAAGGGCCACATCTGGGTGGGGAAATTGTATGGAGGGCAGGGGTTTGAGGTGCGGGAGGAACTGTAGGGTGTGGGAGGGGATGCGGTGTGCAGGAAGGGGCTCAGGGCAAGAGATTGGGGCCGAGGAGGGTTGCGAGGTGTATGGGGGGCTCAGAGCAGGGGGTTGGGATGTGCAGGGTGCAGCAGGGGGCTCAGGGCAGGAGGGGTGTAGGAGGGGTGCAGGGTGTACGAGGGGGCTTAGAGCAGGAAGTTGGGGGGCGGAGTGCAGGAGGGCTTCGGGCTCCGGGCTGGCAGTGGTGCGCATCGGGGCCAGGGCAGGCTCCCTGCCTGCCCTGTCCCTGGGCCCACGCCGCTCCAGGAAGCGCTGCGGCCCCTGGGGGAGAGGGGGCAGAGGGCTCCGTGTGTGCTGCTCTTGCTGTGCCTCCAGGTACCTCCCCTCAAGCTCCCATTGGCTGCGATTCTCTGTTCCCGGCCAATGGGAGCTGCGGGGGGTGGTGCCTGGAGGCAAGAGCACCGCCCGGAGCCGTGGTGCCGGCCGCTTATGGAGATGGCGTGGGGCCCGTGGCGCCATGGGGGGCAGTCCTGCGGGCCAGATCCAAAGCCCTGAGGGGCCGGATCCACCCCGCGGGCCGTAGTTTGCCTACCCCTCCAAAAGAGGGTTTATTAACATAACACTGGTAGATAAACAAGGATAAAGCAACAATAATAATTCGGTGGTTTGAGAAACAGTGGGCTTGAAGTCCAGGCCCCACTAATCCCCAGTACAGGCTATGGACTAACAACAAGATTAATACTTTACAGATGATATGACAATCGGAACAAAGAAGGCAGCCGCATCCGTCCAGTCTGCCACAGCTGCTGAGGAGGAGGATCCGGACCTTCAGCTGTGTGATGAATGAAAACAGGAGGAACTCGGATCAGCTGGAATGATCTTTCAGGTAAGTTGGCGCTCACGTAAGCGCTGGTGATGCTGGACTTGTCTCTCGAAGACCGCGCAAACACAGCTGACAAGAGCTACCTCGGGCGGACAGCACTCAGTGACTGGCACGCGGGGTTTATATACCCAGCGGTATCTAGGCAGATTAGCCAGGTCACGTGCTCAGTCTTTTCCCAACACAATTGAAAAGAGCACCAAAACGTTTAACAAGAAGGAACTCCAATATGGTTCCCAAACAACAACATATACAGATTCAAAATGGTGATGACAGAAAATTTTTCAAAATGACAGCAAATAACCATAGAACTTTACACCCCCACTAGCATGACCTCATATACATAATGTGAGTGAGGTCATGCCGCACGGGGGGCACCATCTACAAGAGAGTCCTACCCATCTGTGACTGGGGACTAAGTAGGGAGCCATCTGCGGTCACTCAATTAGGGTGAACTGCAAAAAATGGAGCAGACAATCCCCAAAAAGCTGGTGGATATTCTAATACTTAGATTTACCAAGCCAGTATAAAACCACTTCTTTATTACCTTACTGGTTATTCAGAAGTCCAAACAACAATAGTTCCCTTAAAGTGATCCAGTCTCAGGCCTACATCCAGGTACCTAAGTTAAATATGGTGATTTCTGAAAATCTTGTTTCATCATATAAAGGAAAAGGTTCTACCAATCCTAAAGGATCAGACACATTACTGCCCAGGCTGTTGAATGTTTCAGAGCTTACCAAAATACATGCTATAGCCAATTCTTATTAAATAAATAGAGAGTATGGTTAAAAGATCAATATACATACAGACATGAGTTCAGTTCTTAAAATTCAGATCCATAGCAGAGATGGTGAGCTTTGTAGTTGCAAAGAGTTCTTTTAGAAATAGTTCATAGGTTATAGTTCAGTGTCCAGATATCATATTCAGGGTGTACCAGCATAACTGGGACCTCAGTCTTGTGACTCAAACTTCCTCTGATGAAGCCTAAGCAGATCTGAGATGACAGAATCGGGACCCAAGGATCTTTTGTACAATTTCATGTCTTTTGACAAATTGGAGTTCAAAAGGTAATTAGCATGACTTTGAAGGAGGTCCATCACCATTACTTAGCTATAGAATTAACATAAGGCCATTTACTTGTTCCTCCACCATTCACAGTACATTTCAAAAAGAGATGAATACCGAGATATCCCGTGTTTACAGTTCATTTAAATGCTAGGATGTTCTTTTGACCTCTGAATTATCAGAATACAGCATAGACAGGGACTGTTGATTACATCCTCGACCCTACTCGTACATATGTAAATACACAAAACCACAAACATTATCTCCCTACATGTCTTATGAGGGTTATTTATTTTGCATGATGTTTAACCCTTTCTAGCCATGCGTCACACCCCCAACCTGAGGCTGGTGTGGAAGGGCAAAATTAGAGCTCCTGGATATACCTTAAGGACCTTCCAGCATTGTTATAAGCTGTGTTTACATTGAATTCTTTGTAAGGCCAAATTATTGATGCATGCTTTGGCCGAAGTTAAAAACTTAGTTAATACTTTGTGAAACACTTCAGTGATTCGGTCTATGTGTTAACTTAATATAGCCATTAATAGCTCTCTTCTTCAGAGAGCACTTACTGTGGCATTCAGCCATGAAGGCTGGGAGGTGTACCATTTCCCCTTTTGCACAGCAGTTCAAGCTCGTAGTGGTTTTTCTGCTGTGGAAAGTTTTAGAAATGTGACTATGCATTAGCTGTGAAACCTTAACATTATTAGGCTTTTTAACACAAAGTGTGTTCTTGTTGAACCAAACAGCATAATCATAAGGATTTCTATTATGTTCCACTCTTAACATGTTCAAGGGCTTTTCCAAAAGACCATGCACATTGTACATTTTTACAGTTTTTGGTATCAGCAACAAGTTAGTTACAATCATTAGCAATAACATTAACATCAGATTTATTACAGATAGCAGGTTTGCAGGACTGCAACCCAGGAATGAAGTGCTGGATGTGTCGAGCATCAGCCACAGGCAGGTTTGCAATGCTGCATACGTGCTTATTTCCCTGGCCGCAGCCCTGCAAACCTGTCTTTTGCTTGTTGTCAGCTGCTGTTTAATGACAACTTTGGCTGTCAACTGAGGGGTTGCTAATAAGCAAATCTACTGTATGTTTGTGCTCGTGCTGTGTATTATGGACATTGGAAATAATTTCCACAATACTGAGGGGAATCTCAACCAAGATATGGATATTTTGACCACTTACTTCCACCAATGGAGACTAATTCTCAATGTAACCAAGACAGCAGCAATTTTCCATCTAAAGAATTGTCTTGCTACTCAGTCCATGTAGAAGGATGGTTACTGTCATTCAGGGCCATCCTTAGGCATACGTAGCATACGCGTCTGCATAGGGCACCTGAAAATTTGGGGCACCACTAGGTCTCAGTGTCCACCCTTCCGGCTCTTCCTATCTCTGTTCTGACCCTTCCTGCAGGCTTCTGCAGCTGGCTGCTGCAGCCTGGTGACTCTTACTCCAGAGGGGATCTAGTAACTTAAAAGTGAAAAAGCCTGCCAGCCCTATTAGCACAACGTTGAAACTGTTAAAGAGTCCTTCAACTTTATTCTGACAGAGTGGAACATCAGTAATAAAAGAGTCAAACACACGAAGGCCTTGGCTACACTGGCACTGTACAGTGCTGCAACTTGCTGCGCTCGGGGGGGTGAAAACGCCCCCCCCAGCGCAGTGAGTGCAGCGCTGTAAAGCGCCAGTGTAATCAGCACCTGCAGCGCTGCACGCTCACTTGCAGCGCTGCAAGCTATTCCCCTCGGAGAGGTGGAGTACTTGCTGTACTGCAAGAGAGCTCTCGCAGCACTGGTGGCGCGACTACACTCGCGCTTCATAGCGCTGCCGTGGCAGCGCTGTGAATTCTGAAGTGTAGCTAAGGCCTAAGGAAATTCAGGAGTCCATCACTGCACCTGCCTCCTTGTCACATGATCATAGGTCCTGGTCAAGACTCAATAAGCTACTCCAGGGGTAGGCAACCTATGGCACTGCGTGCCAAAGGCGGCACGCGAGCTGATTTTCAGTGGCACTCACACTGCCCGGGTCCTGGCCACCAGTCTGGGGGGGCTCTGCATTTTAATTTAATTTTAAATGAAGCTTCTTAAACATTTTAAAAACCTTATTTACTTTACATACAACAATAGTTTAGTTCTATATTATAGACTTATAGAAAGAGACTTTCTACAAACATTAAAATGTATTACTGGCACACGAAAACTTAAATTAGAGTGAATAAATGAAGACTCGGCACACCACTTCTGAAAGGTTGCCGACCCCTGATTATTCTCTGGCTTGTCCAGCAACACTGTGCACCAACTTGGCCTGGTTTCCTCCCCACGTTGTGGCTGTGGAGCTGTGCTGCTAATAGCAATTCATATGGTGGAGGGTGATTTGCAATGCCTAGCAGTCCTTGATACAGAGGCTTACCTTTGGTTATGGAACCTGGACATTGAACTCTGATGTCTGTATACTAGAGGAGGAGGAGCATTATGTAGCACTTTGTATGTTTGTAGCACAGCTCTCATTGACTTCAGTTGCAGCTGAGAGCACTCAGCACTGCTGCAAATCAGATCCCAGGGTCTCAAGTCAGGATCCCAGAAAATAAGGAACAAAAATTAGTGACCACCTGTGAAAAGTTTGTTTTAAGTAATTTGTTTAGCATCACACAGGGACTCTGGCAGAGGCAAGGGTAGAATCATTTAACCTCCTTAACCAAGAGACCATCCCCTGCCTCATTTACTATACACCTTCTAACTTCTGCAACAAATGAAGCAAGGGATCTTACTGCTAAGAGTCTTCTTTACTACACAATCTTGATTTATGCCCAGAACAGCTCCATCCTTTGCACTAAATAAGGTGGGGGTCCTGTGGAAAAAATAATTTGTGTTCATGTAATTAAAGACTGTATCATAATGCATATCCAAGGAGGGTCAATGAAGGTTGCATGGGAAGACACCTTCTGGCTCCCACAAGCAGGGCCGGCTCCAGGGTTTTGGCCACCCCAAGCAGCCCCCCCCCCAAAAAAAAGCCGTGATCGCGATCTGCGGTGTCAATTCGGCAGGAGGTCCTTCGCTCCCAGGCGGAGTGAGGGACCATCCGCCGAATTGCGCCGAATACCTGGACGTGCCGCCCCTCTCCAGAGCGGCCGCCCCAAGCACCTGCTTGAGAAGCTGGTGCCTGGAGCCGGCCCTGCCCACAAGTAATATCTGTCCCTAGATCAGTCCTAAATCAGTCCATTTAAAGATGGCTAACCGTTATAGAAAAACTCCATTCTAAGTAGGGTAATGTTAGCTGTTGTTCTATATTTCAGGTTTTAGTTTCTGATCAGCTGCTTCTGTTTAATTTAGTTATTTAACTTTTTCTCCGTAAAATAAGAGTACTATAACAATTGGCGGGCTGACACAAAACTTCATCTGGTATAATATTTGTTAGGAGATATTATCATTTTATACCCTACACAGTTTAGTTCCTGGATCATCATTAAAATTAGTTTAATGGAAAGAGCACCTGATCTTGCTCCCATTGAAATCATTGACGTTTTTTCCTACTGACTTCAGTGGGAGCAGCATAAAGCTTCCATTATTCAGAATTCCATTCATTCAGTGACTCATGATAAAAATATCCTAGCAAGCCTAGACTCAGCCTTGTCTGTTGTTTATCAAGCAGTTAAGCAAGGTATTTGGAGAAAAAGGTTGAGGATTACTAAGTAAACACAAAGAATTAGTACCCTAATCCACTCTTTATTTGTGGAAAATCCATCATGACAATAAGCATAGAACTGGTAATTCAGGCACAATTACAATGAACGAAAGTGACAGAGAAAGAATGAATGGGTGACTTATTAAATGTAGGTTCTTTATTACAGACTAGTGGTTTCCAACCTTTTTGCATTACTGAGGCATATAGGATAAAATCCTTAGTGTGTATGGAAGAGCCACACTGCAGTGTACAAAGTCATTGTGGGGAGCTTTATGTGTGTATTTGTCATTTGCACTACAACACTATTTTTATATATATTTTTAAACGCATATTTTAAAAAGAAGAAAAGATAGGTGACAAGTGAAAACAAACATAGAATTAAGCAGTGGAAAGATGAGCACATCTCCTACCCCTCTCTTTTCTGTTACTGAGTCCTGTGTTATGTCATCATTCAAGAACATTTGTGAGATGAAAATTTTAAAATCTTGGGCTTTAGAAAAAAGAAGAGATGATGAAATTCCCAGAGCTGAATTTGGTCAGGCGTCTCAAATGGAGGATCCATATAATTCAGAGAAAGTCATTTTAACAAATAGCACTCAATCTCATATTTTAATAATGTTTATAGAGTCATTACTGTTTCCCAGCAATACTGAAAAGCGACAACAGGAGAAAGGCTCATGCACATTCAACTAAGCACAAAGTGTACTTTATACGCTGAAAGAGAACTTTTGTCCCATTTGATAGGAGAAATGGAGGAGAAACAGACATTTGCAGTGCCATAGAAAGCCATATTCTAGTCCCCAAAAGCCATCAATTAGGAAGATAATTGTTAGCTTGTGGATCTTTTGAAAATTCCTACTTTGGAAAGCTATGGTAAGTACAGGGATGAGCAACTATGATCATAAAGACTTTGTCAATTCTGGTGGTCTGTGTTTTAAAAAGGTAATCCCTTAACCTAAGAGGATGTGAAGATGAGAGAATGGCCAAGAGTACCTTCCACAAGGTATGTCTTTCGGGTCTACTGATAAAAATGTGATGCTGGACCACAAAAACATTTTGTATATAATTTGCTGTTCTATTTGAATAATCAAATCCATTCCAAACCCAGTTTCCCCCTTCCTGACTCCTAATCTGATACGTCTACTCTCCTCCCATCTTTTTCCCCCTACCCCCTTGGTTCCCAGTCTCCTTGCCCAACCAATCCATTTTCCTGCAGCTCCTCATCTAATCTCAGTCTCCCCTGACTCACTGGCATCTAATTCCACCCCCCTATTCCTTCCCTGACTTCCAGTCCTAGTATCCTCCAGCAAGTTCTAATGTCCTTGCCAAGACAGTCCCAGTTTCTCCTAGTTACCAGTTCTAACTTCCCTTTCCTGTCACCTGCAAAACTCTCCCGCCCTAGTCTCCTCCCCCATAGGGTTACCAGATAGCAACTGTGAAAAAACGAGATGAAGGGTGGGGGGTAATAGGTGCCTATATAAGAAAAAGTCCCCAAAAGCAGGATTGTCCCTTTAAAAACGGGACGGATAGTCACCCTACTCCCCCAAGGCGCCTTGTCTCAGTTTACTCCTCCTGTCCTCCCGCCAGTTTGGCTCTTGTTATCTCTGCATTTGAACCAGACAGCTGCCTGGGTGCCAGCGGTCGGTTCACTGAGAACACATGGGAAACAGTCTCCTTGCACTTAGTTCAGGTGCCCAGACCTGGCATAACCTGCAGTAGCCCAAAGCTCAGCATCAGGGTGCAGCATGCCCTGTGCAGATGAAATCTTCAGGAAGCATAGTTGTGATGTTCTAAAACGCCTCTGTTGAACATGTGCAAACTGATTTGTTTAAAGGCTTACAGTTTGGGCAGATTTTCACAAGGATGGCAAAAGGCACTGCACATCCTTGACACAAAAGCAACGTCACAGCCAAATTTCAACAGAGCTTTTCAAAGAAAAGGTTACCAGAATAGTTAATTAGGCCTGGTTTACACTACACAGTTAGGTCGACATAAGCGGCATTAGATCGATTTTATAATGTATGTGTCTACACTACCAAGTCCCTTCCGCCAACCTAAGTGACCTGTAAAGTCGACCTTCTGTACTCCACCTCCGTGAGAGGCATAGCGCTTGATTTGACATCCACAGGTCAACATGGGATAGTGTAGACGCTCCGTTGTGTAATTCGAATGAATTGGCTTTCAGTAGATGTCCCACCGTGTTCTGCTGTGATCACTCTGGATAGCACTTTCAACTCCACTGCAAGTCAGCCAGGTACATAAGAAACAGCCGCTCTACTGTTAAAGCCCCAGGAATGTTTGAATTTTCACTTCCTGTTTGATCAGCGTGGAGAGCTCGTCAGCATGGAGTACACAAGCGTGGAGAGATCATCAGTAGGGAGACAAGGCCACAAACCTGCTCCAGCATGGAGTACACAGGAGGTACTGGATCTTATTGCTGAATGGGGAGAAGAGTCTGTGCAGGCAGAGCTCTGATCCAGCAGAAGAAACACTGACATCTATGCCAGAATCGCACAGAGCATGGGGGAGAAGGGCTACACCAAGGAGCTTTGGTAAGAGTACCAGAAGACAAGGGAGGCGAACAGTCATTCTGGTTCTGCCCCAGAGACATGCCGCTTTTATGAGATGCTGCATGCGATTCTCAGCGGTGACCCCACCACTAACCCAAAATGCTCCATGGATACCTCCCAGGAGCCCTGGGCAACCTTGAGCAACAAGGAGGAGGACATTGTTGAAGTGGAGGGGGAGGAGAATGCGAGGCAGGCAAGAGGAGGATCCATTCTCCCTGACAGCCAAGAACTGCTTTTAACCCTGGAGCCCATCCCCTCTCAGAACCAGTTGATGGCGGAGCGTGATGCCGGGGGCAGCACCTCTGGTGAGTACACATTTCCAATCAAACTGTAGGGGTTACATGCTATTATTTTTAATGTTTAATCTGAACAAAAAAGTAGGTATAGTGGGTGGCTATGCAGAGGGTGCTCTCCAAAAAAGACTGTTTATGTGCACGGGGATGGCCCTGGAATCCTCCATGGAGATTTCTAGGAAGCGCGCCGCTCCTGGAGGTACTCTGCAGTCCTTTGCAGAAGGTTTCTGGGAAGGGCTGCCTTTTTTCGTCCATCACGATAAGACACTTTCCCACGCCACTTCAGTATTAACTCTTCTGGCATGATTGAGGCTCACAGCAGTGCAGCATAAGGATCAGGTTTGTACCCAGACACTTGCAGCATCTGCTCCCTTGCTGCCTCTGTTACCCTCAGGAGAGTGATGATATCACATGGGGTCATCTAGGGGAAATGGGGGAAGTTTTAAATGTTAGCCCTTAAACCGCAAGCAATTCAACAAATAATCCGCCCCTGTTTGGTGAAATCTGGGTCACACAATCACACTTTCCCAAGCATGCCATGGTTGTGGTTGGAAGAGGTCACCTTGTATTGCAGCCAACATTTTAAAAAAGTAGGGGGGGCTTCCTGTTTGTCTCCCTTTCACCAACCCTGTGCCACTTTTGTAAAAAAAAAAAAACTATTTGGGGGGCTTTGCACTGGTGCCTGTCCTCAAGCACCATCCAGGTTGCTATGGGAAAGGGTTTTTTTCTGAAGTTGCAACCAGTGATCCCAAGGATGTCTTCACAGAAGCTACAGCACAAGACCTCTCGCCCATACCTTGTGGCCTTACTCACCATGGGTGGAGCAGCAAACTGACTCTTGCAATAGCCAGCGGTTGGGATTACGTTGTGGCTTGCAGGGAAGTGCATTGAGAGGTGGTTTTTTTATAAAAAGAATTAACTTTGCACCAGAAACAATGTATGCACTGTCAATGCTACCGTTGTGCTTTGTATTCTTTGCAGCTGAAAACTTCTCCGTTGGCACATCCTCCACACTGGGACAGAGACTTTCCCAGATTAGAAGGCAGAAAAAGAAGACTTGGGAGGACATGTTCAATGAGTTAAAGTGTGCCTCTGAGAGTGACAAGATGGAGCTCAGCGCATGGGGGATTACACTGTCCAACAACTTGCATAAGGACAGGGAGAACAGGAGAACGTGCAGGTAACAAGAGCATGCCATGCAGGAAGAGATGCTGCAGATTATGAAGGAGCAATCAGACATGTTGAGGCGTCTGGTTGAGATTCAGGAAAGGCAGCTGGATGCTAGAGTCCCTCTGCAGCCTATGCTGAACCTGCTGCCATTGTCGCCAAGTCCCACATCCTCCTCTCCCAAACATCCTAGGATGGGGGGCAGTGGCGCTGAAACATTTTTAGTAGTGGGGGTGCTGAAAGCCAGCCTCATTACCCCTGTCTGCCTCCCCCCAGAGCTGAGACTTGGAGCAGGGCTGTGTCTCCGGGATGGGGGGACCCAGAGAGGGGTAAGATGGCCAAGGCTGTGGCTACAGCTGGGGGTGGGGGTGGGGCTAGGAGCAGAGCCCCGGGTAGAGGCCAGCAGCTGGGATCCCACGTATGGGGCCAGGTGCAGGGCCCTGGGAGCAGAGGCCTGGGAGCAGGGGATAGGGCCGGGCACGGGGCCAGCGGCTGGGGAGCAGGGTGTGGGGCTGGCCCCCGGGACCTGAACCGAGAAGTGGAGCCCCGGGCAAGGGGCCAATGGACCCACATAAAACTTGGGGGTGCTGCAGCACCCCCCGCACACTTACATCCTGCACCTATGATTTGGGGGGGGGGGGGAGTCCGGTATCCCTTGCACTCAACTCCAGGGGATGGTACAAGGACCAGAAAGCACCCAGTCCCACACCTTTGATTGTTATTGCAGTGCAATTGTAAGCAAGCTGTCCTTGTTCCTCCCTCCCGCCCCCCAACCCCCCCCTCCCCCGCCAGTGTTATCAGCCCTTTTGCCCCAGGTTATCATTTCTTTGCTGTCTCTGTGTGTTTGTGAGCATAATAAAACTTAACGGATTGAGGAGAAAAGGCTCTTTATTCATTCAGCACACTGTGGTCAGTGGGGGTGGAGGGTGGAGTTTACAGGGGAGAAAATGCAATGAAGGGGACAGCTTGGTAAGGAACAACACAGATAAGTGTCACATTACTGTGGGTTGTTGCTGAAACTGGCTTTCAAAGCTTCACGGAGACGCAGAGCCCTTCAATGTGCTCTTCTTATTGCCCTGTGTCTGGCTGCTCAAAATTGGCTGCCAGGCGATCTGCCTCAATTCTCCACCCTGCTTGCAGCTTTCTGAACAGACTGGAGTTCCTACAGAGATGCACGTCATGCACTTTTCCCGACCGTCCCATGTTGCTGTCGGTGAAACGGCCCCTGTGATCCACCAGTGCTTGCAACACCATCGAGAAGTACCTCTTTCAGTTTATGTATTCTTTGGCAAGGTGGTCTGGTGCCAAAATAGGGATATGCGTTCCGTCTATAGCCCCACCGCAGTTAGGGAACCCCGTCGCGGCAAAACCATTCACTATGTCCTCCTGCACATTGCCCAGAGTCACTATCCTTAACAGAAGTCTGTTAATGACCCTGCAAATTTGGATCACAACAGATCCCACAGTAGATTTACCCACTCCAAATTGATTCCCCACTGACCGGTAGCAGTCTGGCGTTACAAGCTTCCACAGAGCTATCGCCACTCGCTTCTCCACTGTCAGAGCAGCTCTCATTTTAGTATTGCTGTGCTTCAGGGCTGGGGAAAGCTCTTCACACAGTTCCATGAAAGTGGCCTTACACATTCACAAGTTCTGCAGCCACTGCTTGTCATCCCATAGCTGCATAACGATGCGGTCGTACCAGTCAGTGCTTGTTTCCCGGGCTCAGAAGCGGCGCTTCACCATGTCAAGGTGATGTCTGACTGTCGCCAGCAACTGCGAATTGCTCCACTCCATGGCTTCCAGCAGGGCTGTTTGCATGGTATCACATTCTTCCGTGTGGTGGCTCCTGTTTCAGCTGAGTAAATACTGCAGGATTAGGTGTTTGTAATGCTCACAACAACAGTATACAGCTGAACGGGGGTTCCATGCTTACCGTGCTATGGCGTCTGCGCAGGTAACCTAAGCTTAGCAAAAAAGGAGTGAAAAAGGCTTGGTTTCTTCGCCATTAATTTCAGGGAGGGAGGTAAGTGCATCATGGGAGGCTAATGCCATGTTCCCATAAACACACACGCAAATATTTTGGTCCCATAAGGCATTGCAAGCCCAACCCATAATTCCACTTGGCAACATGCACTGTGGGATATCTACCCACAGTGCAGAGCTCCGTGCATCGATGCAAGCCCTGCTAGTGAGGATGCACTCCGCCGGCACAATGAGCATAGTGGGGACACACAAGACCGACTTGCTTAAATCAGAGGCTTGATGTTGCCTTATATAATAGCAACTTAACTTTGTAGTGTATACATGCCCCTAGACTGAATTAACATGATCTAACATCTCACCTTTAAATCCTAGTCAAGACAGGCCATAGAGTTAATAAAGATTTGTTCATCATGATAGATGAATTCATTTAATTTGAACAGGAGCAAAAAAACCCAAACCCCTGCCTTTCAGTAACCATCAAAACAGAGTATTTCTCTTACAAAATAATCATTGCAAGGAGTATTGGGTTAGCTGAATTGGAAACATAAAGAACTGAACCCCCAGAGTAGTGTTCAGATAACCACATTCCTACTTGGTTCATTATTGAAGAATTAGTCTGTTGTCTCTCATTTTCACTGGTTGAGTTTGATACCTTTAATAGATTTAAAAATTATTTAATTTATTAAAGTTAATGTTTAAAATCAAATTTACACAAGTTAAGATGGAAGGTACTGTACAGCTGGGGTCAGGCTTGGGTTATGAGGGATTACAAGTGTTGGTTTCAAGGTTCATGAGATATATACATACTACAAAACCAGCATAGACCCAGATTGGGGTGCGGGAGTTTTTAAAACATCAGTGGATAAGTGATCTCGGGTATGCCACCCATAGAATGTATGTAGAGTCCAAGTCAGTATTGGTGTAGCGAATAGATACATGGGTGGGGTGCGTCCCTTGGTTCGTCAGGGAAGGAAGGAAGTGGGGTATTTCCTTTACCGGCATTCTCAATTACTCGACCTGGTACTGACGGTGTCCTGTGATGTGCCCCATGTATATGTCTCTGGACCACCTGATGGTGTCAGACACCATGAGCTGTCTCCTACAAGTTTCATAAGCCTTTATGACCTGTTACGGGTTGGATCACAGAAACCCCCTTGGGAGCTGCCACCTGATGTGCAAAGACTACCTCTGCTCCTGTTTTCCCTGCCAACTCAGGACTCCAGCACCCTGTCTTGCTGGGCAAGACACTCCCGTCTGCTCTAACACAGACCCAGGGTCTGAATCACTTGCCCCAAAGCTGCAAGTTTACCTGAAAACAGCTCGCAGAAGTGTGCTTGTCTTTAGCACTCAGATGCCCAACTCCCAATGGGGTCTAAACCCAGA